GATTATAGCCAACTCGGGGCTACGCGCCTCGTTGGCTATCTATCATCTCATATCCAACGCGCGCTCGTGGAATAATTGTTAATTATACCCTAACATCAGAAACATATTCTCCATACCTATCTCTATACACTTCCCAATGGGCTGACAAGGAGGATTTTGATAACAATTAACATCTTCTTTAGATGGTGATTATTTCCTTTATTCTGGTGCCTTTGATGTTTGATTCAGGAGTGATATGGTAAAGAGAAATTAGATACCAGCACTCTCACGGGTGGAAGGGTACATTTTATTCTTTTCGATGCCAACAAGTGAAGGCGCAATTAAATACTTTGAATTTAATGCCATTCCGATAAATGGAGTTGACGTTGTCAAGACGGCACTGAATTTCCAGAAATATACCTTGCTGCGGAAGAGATTTTCGAAGGACTTCACGAGTTTGTATCGAAATGACGCTCTGAGTGTATCGAATGGCTACTTTGTCAACGTATCGAATCGACTTCAGTTTGAATTGAATTGACTTGTGTTGAAACGACCATAAATCAAATGCTTTAGTGGTATTCGTTTGCCTTTTAGGACGCACGTTATTATGAAAGGAAAAGTATTGAATTCTCAGAAACGTCAGAGAAGCTGGCAGTTCGGCGAGACCAGTTGGAGTTTGAGTTGCGCAAGGTCCGAGAGCAGAAGGATGAGTACAAAAAGCAAGTCAACCACATGGAGCAGGCCCTTGAAAAGGTATTTAAGGCCAACTGAAGTGATTGGTCGAAAATAATTTAAATGCCGTTGATTGAATTTTTACATCTTTGGACACAAAGAATAGAATAACGGTCAGGGTTAAGTGAATTTACAAAGCTGAATACGAAAGGAGTTCATGTTTGTAACCTTTAAAATTTGGGGAAAGTTACGGTGGGGCTAGATCTCCTTTATCCCAGAAATTGCTCATCCGCTGAGAAAGCGGGACGCTGTTGAGACTGAAATCTCTTATTCCTAATAAACATTGTTATATCTTACAAGGCAGCTCTCAAGCATGCAGACTCGCAGGGTATCATCGAGAAGATGGAACAAGAGATGGCAAGACTTAAACTGAAGCATTCACTTGAGATGAAGGTATACTGTCATCGTGCACGTCACCGCGGTATGACACGGTCGTTTGCATTATAGTTTATGTAGAAGTAGCTTTCCATTATTTAAAACTTCGATGTTGTCTTCTAGGAACTTGAGCGGACATCTAATGCATCCCTGCCTGTCAAACCAGAAGCTGCAACGTTATTTGAACTTTTGACAAAACTAAACACTGGTTTTAGGTGAATATTTCAATTACTTTATTTCTACTCTAAGCCCATTAGTCTATCTTTGAGATGATTAGCATCAGATTAGCATTCTAATGACATAAATGCCCGAAAACTCTTGTAAAGATCATCCTACATCTACGTATCCGCGAGGCTGAATGATAATTTCTTTCACACTTCTTCTCTACGGAGTCACATCTCGAATTAGCCACTCCTTAAAGCTTTATATCCTAACATCAGTATGCATATTCTCCATACACTTCTTATACTTATGCATATTCTCCATACACTTCTTATGCATATTCTCCATACACTTCTATACACTTCTTAAGGGGCTGCCAAGGAGAATTTGCTTGCTGTTCACGAAGCCTTTCCTAGGTTTCCATCGGTTGGCAATCCTTAGAATCTTAGAGTGGCGAAAATGAAAAACAGTAACTTGGATGGATTTGAATTATTTCATATTAAATATCAAATGTCTAGATTTAAATCCACAAAAGCAAAAAGAAGTTTGGTGACCTATTTTTTACCTATTTGTTACCCGGTTTCCATTGCATGAAGCGACTAGGCCCATTACTACTTCCCCCGTGGATGCAATACAGATCCATCGCAAGTTAAATTTCACCAGGCTCCCCCTGACAATTTTCCAGCATTCAGTGCTCCAAGCTGATGACGAGTGAAAAATACATTTGGCGACTACAATTTCGAAAAAGGTCGCCAATTGGCGACCAACAGATTAGAAAAAAAAAAAAAAAAAAAAAAAAAGGAAAAGAAAAAAAAACGCGTTAATTGATTGATCATTGGTCAGATAGTGAATAGAACAAATGCCAGTATCTCCTGTCTTTCTTCTTTCCTCTCACCGTTTCGTATTTCCCAAATACACATAAACCTAAGATAGCAGTGATCAAGTCGAAGTGATTTCGTTGAGATAAACTTCATTTTATTTTATGTTTGGGATTTGACATTGAAGACATTTAAGTCTAACCTTCAACTTTGTAGTGAGAAGTATGGTGACGAAATATCTAGTGGTCCAAGATGTCATTTACAATATTTGTCTTAATACCAATATTTCAACTCACTTTAGCTGAGCAATCGACCGCAATCGTATTACACAAGATTTGTTACTCGATCTCAGCAACTTTGTGGTAAACCGTTTTTGCCTCCAGACATCAGTTTCTACATTCTCTCTCTCTCTCTCTCTCTGTCTCTCTCTCTCTGCCTTGATCCTTGATCGCCTTGATCGTCATTACAATTTTATAATCGGCAAGGGAGAAAATGTACCAAGTTGACAAATGAAAGTGACAGCGTTCGACCAACCGACTATCTCATGAATTGCAGCATGAAATGTCCTCCCATCGTTATGAGGGCAACTGAGGGTGGAGAGAGGCTAGTCTGCTCCTCGTGTTATCTTGTTAATGTCAGTTTGCCTTCCACAGGTGGCCGCCGTTAACCACTCCAGCAAATTACACCAATGTTCTGTTAACTCAAAAGACTGGTCTTCCTCAGCCCTTGCCAACACTTTTACCGCTTTCCCAGGGTTCTCAGTCTGAATTGGCAGATTTGGAGAATCGGCAGCTGGCGCAAAGTGGACCCTCTCGAGAGGTTAGGCCGTTAGGGGAAAGTTTTTTACTTTGTACTTTGTTTGTCGTAAGATTTGTGACGTAAGAGTAAAAATACGATAGTTCCCTGAGCCACTCACATTCATGTTTGCATCCATAGACAAGTGAAGCCTCGTCGAAGAAAAACGATGAAGTTACAGATGACCTGAAATCCTTACTGCATGAAGTGCGGAGCTTGATCTCAAGTTTCCAAGCGCACGTGTCCCAAACTGCGACTCCTGCCAAGACCCCGAATGCTCCGTCTGCGTCACAGGCTCCTCTTACTGAGCGAGCGTTGTTGGACGATGGCCCCGTGCGTCCTGACGAACCTTATGTGGGAGAAAGTGGGCAGCAGCGTGCTCCCGGTGAGGCAACCTCAGATAATAAAAATTCTGGTACATCAAGCGAGAGTGAAAAGCAAGGCCAAGCACGAAACTGTGACAGGAAAGATCGAGGCGCAACCCACAAGGGGCATCTCCGACCTAAGCCCATTATTTCTAGGGGGCACAGGCAGGAATTCAACAGAGAAGAAGCTTCATCTGTATCAACGGATCTGAATTTGAGAGTCAGCAGCAGGTACGATTTCGACGAGGTTAGCGACGACTTTGCAATTCCGCTGCACAGTTCGTCTCCAAAGAGGGGTGATATTGCAAGCAATGATGCATTCAGCGAAAGTTCACAAACACTTGACAGGCTACCTTCACCATTGTCGTCATCGATTCACAGTGAGCAATCAGATGTCACTTCTCTTTTAATGGACCAATCAACTTCCACTGCGGACACTATCATCTCGCGTGACATCCTGAACGCGGCTCGTTCTTGGAAGCCGAAGTCAAGCGCATCGCTAACTACAAGTAGTCAGTTAAGCTCAAACGAAATGTCTGATGTGGCGCCTTTACCAATCAGCAAGTCGCGCCTTTTGCCTCTAAGCCAAAACGAAGTAAGGCGGAATCGTAAAACAGAGTCCACCCGACGTACATCTGTACGTCAAAAACGAGAAGATTTCACTTCAGGGCAACAGAGTGATGGAGTTTACACAGCAGGTAATTTAATTGTTACTGTATTCAGGGCCCGTGCTAATCGGCGAGGATCTTTAAAACCTTACTCAGACTCATTCAAACCGTCTTTTGTTTTTTATCTCTCGCTGGTCATAATTAATGTCCTTAGACTTGACTAAGATTCTGCGTCACGCTGCTTTGTCTTGTTGTTCATGAAAGAGCTGGCAATGGCTGGAAAAAAACCTTGTAAAATTGCATCGTCTGCATCAAACACTTTCACCTTTCTTGCATACCACAGGGCAAACACTAACACACTTGCAATGCTAGAGTAAATTCCTGTTCGAATAACCTTTTGTGCCGCTTACTAACTTGCTTCACCACCAGATCCTGTTACACTATAACCCTGTTCACGAGTCTTCGCTAAACTAAGTTTACCGCAGTACCAACTCTTACCAGTTATGTTTTTTTCTTTTTACACTCCTTTGATTTTGTCTCCATTTTTGTTCGTTTGTTTGTGTTTCCATTCCCCTCTAAATTATTTTCAACGAACTTTTCAGCTCAAGAGCCTGCGGGGAAAAAGTCGTCAGATGGTGAGCCTGTGTACAGACGTGCCGAGATGATCTTGAGATCCCTTGCACAAACTGGGGAGCAGCTTACAAGGAAAAACAGAGGTCAGAAGTAACAAAAAAAAAGTCGTTGGACACTCGTAGTTTGAAAATATTGTGGTTTACAATTTCCTGGTCATGTCATTTCCTGTCATTCTATTATGACCCATTGCTGTGAAGTCTTGCTCGAAGAAAGTGATAAAACAACCAATAAGGGAAAATCTGTTTTCGTCATCAGTATGTTAGCTGTTGCATTATAATTAATTAACCCTCGTGATGCATGTAGGAAAAGAATCTCTTCTTACAACTGTCCAATGTCGCGCAGATTGCTCTTTGTTCGCTTTATCGTCTTTATTTTATGTCCTAATGAAGTTTATTAACGTTAGACACCTCCATTTGACTTGTAAATATGCTCGGATGTTATACTGTGGACAGAGTCGCCTGCGAACACGGCCACGTCAATAGCTTTTCGGCACGAACGCTTCTTCGCCCGCGGATTTATGACGCCCTGAGCTGTGCGAACTGGCGAGGGATCTAGCACTGAAAATTAGTCTCGCATCTTCCCGCGGGCGGAGTAACGCGGGTCCCCCAACATTGATACCGAGGATGTTTTCGTGGGCAAAGGGGAGAGAGGCGAATTGTCTTCCGTGGACGATGCTCGAAAAAAACTTTTAACAGATATTCCCCAGTTTTAGCTGGGTCCTATCTGATCACATTGCAGTTTTACACTAATTGAGTGCGAGCGAAAATATTCGAACGATATCTCAAGTGTTACCCCTTCATAAGTGAATCTCCTCTTTTGCGTTTTCAGAGATCAAACACTTGTTGAAGGAACAAGACAGACGAATAAAAAAGTGTCGGAAAAACGAAGACCACATGCATGCACTTCTGTCATGAATAAAGAGCCATTATCTTTAAGACTTAAAAATCTTCTATCACTAGAATAGTATGCATTGTAAGCTAAGCCTAAAAAAAAACTTAGAATGTTCTTGTGAAAATGAATTTGGCAACACTGCGTATCTGTTTTATGGGGAAAAGACGTATTGCATTGGAGAGACTGCTATCCTCTCCGCATCTTTTATTCCCTTTTTCTTCTCTTCCAGGTTGTTATCTTTTCCATTCGCTTTTACCCATGTAGACATCTTTTTACTAACATTCTAAACTCTCCTGTCTCAGTTCAACAACAATGCTTAAAAGGGAAAGTAGGTTAAGAGCTTACCTAAATCAAATGCCCCAAACTTGTCAGGAACTGATTATTTGTATTTGTTACTGAAATGGAGTTAGCGGCATAGACTATGTACTCGCATACAAAGTGGATGATACTTTAGAGTGAAGCCGAGCTGCAGGTGGTACCACTTATTTTAGAAGAAACGATTACAGAGAGATTGTTAATTGTAAACAAAATAAATGCAACACAAATTAGGAACTCAGTAACTAATTATAAAGTTCCTGTCAGTGTTGAGAAGCGTTGAGCAACCCTGCCATATTTCACTTTTACCGATATTTGTAATTTGAGTAATTTAATATTGAAAATATAAGGAGTTTTATGCGGGCCGTCCGTAAAACCTGTTAAACATCGCTAGATCGAAACGCGTTCATTTTCCTGGCAAAGTATGGAAAGGCTTAATGCAGACTTAGAGCTTGTGCCGTGGAATATTATGGAAATTTTTTCTGATATTGATGACAAATGTTATTCCTGGCAGACCCTTATTTCTTCCACCTTCAACGAGCTCTTTCCCATCAGTCGCAAACGCATCCGCCAGTCAACTCAACCCTTGCTAGATAAATCGCTACTGTCTGCTATGAGGAGGCGTGACCAGTTTCACAGAAAAGCTAGGAAATTAAATCAGCCACCGGACTGGTCTGAATACAGGCGTCTGCGAAACCTTATTAGGGACTTTAAGATACGGGGACGCGGACGCCTTGAAGTACGCGACCGTCGAAGAGAACCTGGGTCGAGTGCACCGCGTTCGTGGCGGGAAAATTAAGTTAAGGTTCTTCAGTTTGCGAGCGAAGCGGCGATTTTTTCGAGTTTAATATGGCTTCTTTCAGGGAAACTCGAGAACTGCTGTGTATAAGTCGTGCAATGGGCTTTATTACTGATGCAGAATTCTTGCTGCTTTATGAGGAGAGCAAGTCAGATAATTTGGACTTCCCTTACCAAGAGTATCCGAAATTTTCTCTGCCGGGACCAAAATGGAGCCGAGTGTTCAGCCAATTAAAGGGTAGAGAGGCATCACACATCTCGCCTTAAAGATGCACTGCAAATTCCTGCTATATTTAAATGTGATCAATGAACAGTATGTGATGGAACCGAGGGCCTTTGTATCCTTCTCAAGCGATTTGCCTACCCTTGTCGCTACTCTGACACGATCCCGATTTTACTTGGGCTTCGAAGCCATTCCCGGCTAGATCCAATTGTAATTTATAACAGAGATCAGCAACTGAAAATTAGATCAGTCAATGTATGAGTATTTCACAGAATAGAGGTTTTTACCGAGATTGCTTAGTGTTAAATTTCTTGCTATTCTGCTGTGTTTTAACGAGATTTGAGTCCTTTTAGCATATTTTGGTGTAGGTTGTACTGACACTACAGTGTTATATTTACACTGCTGTTTATAATTATGACTCAGCAACCGACTTTTTAAATAAAAAATAAAAAAGAAGATTCTTATACATCCAAAATAACACGGGTACTGTTAATTGAAAGGTCTGTAGAAACCAAAAAGACCACCAATTTACTCACGTTTTTTCAGCGACGCGAAAAGCCTTCTAGCGGCGTCCGTCGCCAGCAACAGCGCAGCACATCTGAATTTTGGTCATGCGCAATGAAGCTCTCAGGTGTTATTTTACTTCTGGTTCTCTTTCGCGACGTCTGCGTTCCTGTATCTTAAAGTCCCTATTAACTTATCACTCAGAAAAGCCAGAAAAACATATTTCATCGAGAAATTAGAGGAGAGTAGACCAAACCCAAGTAACTTGGAAAACTCTCAAACAGGTTCTCCCAACGAAGAACGTGAACTGCGATATCGGCAGATGGATTGTTGACGACAAAGAACTGACTGGGCACAAAGACATCGCGGATGCTATGAATTCATATTTTACGTCTATAGCATCCTCTCTCTTGGCAAATTACAATTAGGTAGAATCTGAAGCTGTTCCAGATGAGGCACCACCAAATGTCGAACCCTTCAGATTTACCATAAGTAACATAAATGAGGTCTCAAAAGCTATCAAAGATCTTAACGGAACAATAGGTGCAGGACCTGACGGAATCCCAATGAAAGCCTTAAAAGTGGCTGCACTTAATATCGCTCGAAGTCTCACTCATGTTCTTAATAAATCGCCCTTCACAGGAAAATTTTCGTCTGCGTGGAAAACAGCAAAGGTAACGCCACTTTTTAAAGGAGGAACAACAACAAACTGATAGTTACCGACCCATTTCAGCGCTGCCCTGTATTTCAAATATTTTGGAATCTTTCGCGAACTCAGACTTGCAGAGCTGCTTTCAACTCTGGTCCTATAGAACACCACCAGTTCGCTTACTTTAACTTCTCTTCAACAACTGTCGCCCTACTTAAGGTAGTATACTCGTGGAAAAGAGCAATTGATAATGGTCTCAAGTCTGTTAGTGTTTTTCTCGACCTGAGAAAGACATTTGAAGTCATCAAACATGAGGTCTTGCTAACCAAGCTCGAATCCTACGGCGTCACAGAGTCCGAACTTCGTTGGTTTAACAGTTACCTTTCTGAGAGATTACAGTATGTCCTCTACAAGGAGGTTAATTCAGATCCCATGCGTTTTTCTTTTGACGTCCCGCAGGGATCAGTTTTTGGACCACGTTATTTGATATTCACATAAACAACATATCGAAGGCATGTCACACGTCCACTCTCGTTATACGCAGACGATACTGAGATATATTTCAGCTCGAAGAATATTGATTTAGCTCGAAGAATATTGATTTAGCTGTGTACAATGTCAACAAGGATCTCAAGAGCGTCAGACACAGGTTTTGTCGGAATGGCCTCATTTGTAATACAAAAAAGTCGGAAGCCATGATTATTGCGTCCCACAAAGCATACACTTTTCTACGGAGACTCAATATTAAAACAGCAGAGACATTTTAAGTAACTTGGCGTGATGGTAGACAAATCATTATCATGGAACAATCACATGTCACATTTTGCCTCGAGAGTTTATCACTAGTATACAAAATTGTAAATGATTATCATTGTCCCAGGCAACTTTAAGGGTATTTTGCACTGAGATCAAAACATCGTTGTATAGCCCTCAGAGATAGTAAGGAACTCCATCTTCCAAGACACAAAACAGCCATGGGCTAGTCAACATTCGAGTATGCCGCTGTAAAGGAATGGAATGGCCTCCCCAATGAACTGCGTGCTTGTGACACGCTGACAATTTTTAAAATTAAAACGTTTTTAAACCTTCATTAGAATCAGATATGGCACAACACAAATTTACTGTATAAGTTTTTTTTTTATCAATGTAAGTATTGCAGTAAATGGTTTGAACCCGGGGGTAACATGTGGAAGTGTAGTGGGATCGAGCGTGAAGCGTGGTGTGCCCCAAGGCAGCGTCCTGGGACCCATGTTTTTCAACATGTTCCTCAATGACCTCATCTTTCACATAAAGTCTGTAAAACTAAACACATATGCTGATGACTGCCAACTGCACACATCTGACGTAGACCCAGTAGCCTTGGAACAGCGGATCAATCATGATGTACAAATAGCTAACAAATGGTTCGAAGACAATGGGATGAAAGCCAACCCCCGCTAAACACCAAGGGATGGTTCTTGGCAAAACCGATTACCCTTTCTCCTTCTCAACCACAAGATGCCTAACACTTTTTGGAATAATTCTTGATAATGAACTTAACTTCAAGGAACACATATCCTCTGTATGTAAAAAAATAAATAATCAGTTCAGTGTCCTCAAAAGATTTGGCAAACTTATTTCTACCGAAATTATGCTTCGCCTTTATAAAACGTTTATGTTACCCCATTTTCACTACTGTTCAATGATATGGCACTTTTGTAACTCAGAGGACTCTGTTAAACTGGACACCTTAAATAGACGTATTTTAAGATTTGTTTTAAAGGACTGGGACTCGAACTACGATGATCTTTTAGACAAGGCAGGTGTGTGTGGTTTAGCCAACAGGAGGATACAAAATATGATGATTTGTATATTCAACTGTCTCCATCTTGGTAAATATCCGTGCTATCTGAAACAACTAATCAAGCTAAGATCTACTGCTTACTCCCTAAGGGGCACGAATATTTTATCACTTCCTAAGCCGTTTACAACCACATATGGTCTAAATTCTTTTAGCTATTCATCTGTTAAGTATTGGAACTCCCTCCCTGACCACTTTAGAAAAACTGTAGACTATAGCGAATTTAAGAGCAAACTGTCAGCGCACAATTTCTGTTAATATTACATTTATATCACATATTATTATATTAACGATTATTATATTATTATATTATGAATTATTTTTATCTTTTAACCTGTTCTTGCTGTAATCTTAAAGTAGTAATTAGGATCGGAGATACTAGCGTATAAGCTAATCTAAAATCCGAGGATAAATAAAGTTTATGTATGTATGTATATGTATGTATGTATGTATATGTATGTATGTATGTATCGTCCGGGTGAGTGTAGTCCTGACAAGGACTGTTGTCGATGGTAGTGACTGACGTCTCGACAACCTGTGCGGAAGTCATCATCAGAGTCAAGTGAATAGTTGTTGTTAGTAAAATGTTGTTAGGCCAGTTCATTTGAAATGATTGGTCAGCTTTGCCGTGATGTTATTGGCTCAAGTGGCGTAAGGCGGTCGTGATTGGCCTGTTTCAGTGATTCGTCGGTAAAGTTAGGTCGTTCTGTTCGGTTCATTTGTAATGTTAATGTCAAGAATGAGTCGTTTGTATGGAGCCGGTAGTAGTAGCCGACCGAGGCTATTGTATCTAGTGTTGAGGCGGCTCTGTCTCGGCACCGAGAGCTATCAGAGCCGACCAAGGATAACATCAGAGGCAGAATTGCCTCCACTTTACAATCAGTGTCACTACAGGACAGCAACTTGACAAAAGACGAACAACATGCACTGAGACGACTGAGAAACGACGAAAACATTCTACCGGCTGACAAAGGACGAGTTACTGTTGTCATGGACAAACTGACTATCACGACAAAATGGACGCACTGGTTAACGAGCAAACAAACCTGCGAAGAACTCAAACGTGACCCGACTTCTGTACTTCAACGCAAGCTCAACAGTAAACTACTGACACTCAAGAAAACGAACGCCATTGACACCTAACGGTACCATCGACAAAGATGCTCAGTACCACAGCCACCGAAACTCTACAGTTTTCCGAAACTACACAAACCTGGTTTCCCGATTCGACCTATTGTTTCTTTCTGTGGTTCTCCTGCATACCAACTATCGACGACAATACTACAACCGCTGACCGAAAAATACAGATGTAAACTACAATCCACTGAGGACTTCATTAACGCTACCAGGACTGTACAGATACCTGACGACTACAAACTAGTGTCATTTGATGTGAAATCAATGTTTACAAGTATTCCACTTCAATTGGCATTATAATGTACTGAGACTGCAATCCGACAATCTACCGACCCACTACCGCTACCGACAGACGACATCGACATTATGGACTTACTGAACCTTTGCCTAACATCAACTTACTTTCAGTACAACAGTAAACACTACAAACAGATACAAGGCACAGCCATGGGGTCTCAAGTTTCTGTTGTTGTAGCAGAAATTGTGATGCAGAACATCGAGTAACGCGCCCTTTCGACTTGCCCACAAACGGTACCGCTTTGGTTACGCTACGTTGACAAAAGATTCACCGCCGTACGACACGAAGAAATCGACGCATTCCACCACCACCTTAACGGACAAAACACTGACCTACAGTTTACCAGAGAAGTCGAAGAAAATGGCAAACTTCCTTTTCTAGACTGTCTGGTATAAGCCGTGACGACAACTCACTACGGACGACAGTTTACCGATTACGGGAAACCGACACACACCGACAGATTACTAGACGAGTCATCCTACAATCATACATCACACAAAGCCACAACTATCAGGACTCTAACACGACGCGTGCAACTAGTATGCAATACGACAGACAGCTTATCCGACGAGAAAAAGTACCTTTACCGTGTTTTTTTTTTTCAAAAAACAACTACAACGACGACTTCATCCGACGAAACACTCACCGACCCACTAATACTACCAAAACAAACGACACCGCAACTCCAACGACTACAACAACCATACCGTACATAAAAGGCATACCTGAGAACATCTCGCGCACCTTATAACCCTTCAATATCCGCGTCGCCCACAAACCCATCACCACACTACGTCAGTTACTAACAAACATTAAAGACAACGACGTACCGAGGAACAGACAAGGAGCGATTTATAAGATCAAATGCTCCGACTGCCAAGCCTCCTACATCGGAGAGACTGGCAGAAACCTCGTAACGAGAATGACTGAACACAGAAGGGCGACGACGAAAAGTGATGTCAACAATCACATTGCTGAACATTGAAATCAATTGAGCTAACAGGGAGCAGTTAGCTCAATTGGTTAGAGCGCCGAATTGTGATATGCGGGAGGTCGAGGGTTCGAAGCCCGGTCGGACCAATACTCATGGTCTTAAAATAAGTGAGGAGAATTTGCTACCTTTCTATAATCAAGGTATGGATAGATATTCTAGTCTTCTCGGATAAGGACGAATAAACCGTAGGCCCCATCATCTGTAGGGTTAGGGGTAGGAGACGTTCATTTCCCACGCACGAGATTACTGTGTGGTGGATGTCCTCCCCTAGGTGGGATGGGTGGGTGTTGGCCCTGAAACGCCCCTATGGGGAGTGGTCAATTAACCTATGTATGTATATATGTATGTATATATGTATGTATGTATGTATGTATGTATGTTTGTATGTATGTATGTATGTATGTATGTATGTATGTCACCACAATATTGACTGGGAGTCTGCGCAAATGCCTAACCTACAGCACTAACCACTTTCAACGTCCGACTCTGGAAAGCTGGTTTACTAACTTAGAACAGACTCCGTTAAACAGCTGTCAACTACTACGGGCTCCATACAAACGACTCATTCACGACATTAACATTAAAAACGAACTGAACAGAACGACCTGACTTTACTGACAGAACAAAACAGACCAGTCAAGACCGACTTACGCCACTTGAGTCTTACAGCCAATAACACCACGGTAAAACTGACCAGTCATTTCACACGAACTGGACTAAGAACATTCTATTGACAACAACTATTCACTTGACTCTGATGATGACTTCCGCACAGTTTGTCGAAACGTCAGTCACTACCACCAACAGTCCTTCTCAGGACTACACTCACCCGGACGATCGCACTACACTTTCAAATGTAAATATATTTTGGTAATTTTCAATTTACTCTTAACTTGTACCGATGGTGAGTTGTATTTTAAATTGTATTTTTATGCACTGATCACCTGTTTATACCAGTCTTTTTTATGCTGAATTCGCTAGTCGCTTTTTTCTGTTTAAATAAAGCATTTATTATTATTTAAAAATAGACACATATGCGTGAAATTATTTACTTATATCTTTGGACTGTGTATGAAAACATTTCAAGCAACTTTTTACATCCTTGTTTGGATATACATCGTGCCACTGCTATTCGTTCACAGCACGGTTTCCTTCATAAGTGGCACAAGGTACGGGTTCCAGTTAGAGAGTTCATTGCCTCGCTTCCTTTTATCCGCCGCTGCCCTTTACTCTCACTTTCTGAAAAACATGTTTAACTGACTAAGATACCAAGCGTGGAAAAGTAATACATTGTAACCAAGTTTTGTGCATTCAAAATCTTAAATTAAGATCCGCCCAGTGATTTGATTTTGGAGTGAGGAGTGATATCTTGCCCTTCCTGCATCGATTGGATGAAGAAGGAAAGCCAATTACCCATAACGATTTCACAAGACAATTCGTTCACTTGTGGTACAAAATAACGTCTTTTAACAGTTTTCTCCGTATCATATATAGAAGGCTCTATCACCCTCAAAATGAGGATAGTAAGGGCGTGGGAAGCGGGGGTGGGGGGGAAAGTACATGGGCTGGAGGTTTTCGATCTTGAGGGCCTCTTCAACTTTCTTTTCTAGCATTTAAATAGTTTAACAAAGGTGACTACCGCAACAGCAGCAGCCAAAACAGAATTTTGCCTGCGATGGCTTAGCTTTCTCTCATTAACATTTTATTTCATCCATTTTTATTATCAAATAGCACCAAACTCTCTTGTTAATGCAAACGACTTAATTAAACTTATGTGATCAAAACTAGAACTATAAGATTGCCTTAACATATTGTCTTCGTACTCTTTCATTTGAAATATCAGTTTGAAGAAAGTATTGCGAGCATGTCATTCTCTTCTCGGTGAGATAAAGCTGCAATTTTCTTGGCTTTGTAGATGTGTTTCTTCTTTTAAATTTAATATTTTCTTCAAAATAAAACTTTTTTGTTATTTATTATGGGAAAAATTTATGTTCAAACTTACAACCTTAACTGTCTTCGCCAAAAGCTCAAAAGTTGCTTTCAAGTTCTCAACTAGTAAAATCTAGGAGAGGCTTCCTTTGTTCTTCCCTGGACCAATGATCGCTACCATGCCAATGACAACATCTACCAGCTTTCTCGAAAAGGAAAAACAAAGCCCGGACGAGTTGGGAGATAATGGCAGAAATGACCAAAATAGACAGTGTTACCGGCACAACCGCCAGCGCGCCAATCTCAAACCATTCCATAATATCCATGTAATATCTGTAAGGCCCGGTAATCGTAATACCAAATGACAACAGGGTTGCTTTGGTAAGGTTAATTATGGAAATTATTATCAAAGCAGTAAGGGATAATGTCTCCGTTGTATTAGCCATTCGATCTCGAAATGGATTCTTTGATACATGGTGGAGTGCTATCAGAGTGCAAACTGTAGCCAAGGCGACCATTCGCAGCATCGGGCTTGTTATAAACGAATGACAAACAAGGAGAATGAATCTTCGACCAATCAGAACGCTCTCCCAGTAGAGTGTCCCTTCATCGCCGTTCTTCGGTGGACGGAAAGGACCATGAAGAACTTCCAAGACATCTTTACTACCAACTTGAACTCCAAGAGATTCTTTCCCAGGTTGTTTCTTGGCTTTCCTTAGAAGCCAGTAGACGAGAAATGGTAATGGAAGCACGCATGCAGCAAGAAATTCAGTTGCTGTCATTGAAGAGCTGTAAAGCGCTGAGGATCCGAGGTAAAGAACGACAATAAAGGGAACAATAAACACTGCAATGTAGGCTAGAACGAGATACTGCCACCACTGCATACACGTAACGTTTGCATCGATATAAAGCCGCTTTTCAGATTCGATTGAGACACAGCTAATCAGTTTGAGGCAAGTCTCTGCTAGCCTTTCGTAACCTAACAGC